GGAGCCCCTCACAACCTTGCCTGCAACTCAACCCTTGGCCACTTGCTTCTATTAGGGGCCCACTTGATGGCCCCTCCTCTGTCCACCCTTTCTCCTACAGGACACATGCCTGGGAAGGCGGGCCTCATCCTCTCCCCTTGGTTCCTGTTTGGAAAGTGTCCATTCACTTCTGTGCGGATCTGTTGAGTCATAAGTGAAGCCTATGTTGGACGGTCGGGTGGGAGGCCTGTCCCTTCCTTTATTTCTGTCAGTCGGAAGGAAGGAGGCCTGCGCCCGGTTACTCTGGCTTCTCTGTTCCTTGTACACGGTTGATCTTTTTGTTTTTCTCCGGTTAGTTCAGCTTCAGACAACCCTTTATCACCCCCGGATGTGAGGCCTCGCTCTGCGGTCTGGCCTGCCCGGCCATTTTACAGTTATCATTAATTGATTTTGCCCTCCTCCCTGGGGAAGCACAAATTGGCTCTGCCCATTAGTAACAGTAATTCCCTGAAAGGGGTTATAAATCATACCTCGTGTCTAGCCCTCACTCGCAGAGGAGCCGTGCCCACACAGGGAATGCTGGGCCAGGAGGTGGGATGTGTGTGAGGATTCTACCGTCCAGCAAGATCTCTTCAAAACACAGCCAAAGGCTGACCGGTTACAGCAGGTACAGGACACTCAGTCTGTACGTGTGGAAGGAATGGAGAGAAGTGGGGGTGGGGAGGAAGAAAGGGAGGGCAGAGCCTGTGAGTATTCCTGGGGTGTGTGTGAACAAACGTCTGTTCACTTCAGATAGGGCATGGACTGTGGACCTCAAAACTGACTCCCCGAAGTCCAGCTTGGGGCACCAATGACCAGTGAGCTGATCAGGTTACTTCAAGGATCACGGGCGGGCGACTCGAGGGTGGCTGCACAATGAGAAACTCAGCCCAGCATGGGGGGCAGCCTTCAGAAGATGCACCAGGGTGGCTGTCTGCACAACTGGAAGGCATCTCCACTGAAGAGTCTCTCTCTCCGGCAAGCATTTACTGCCATGTAGTAATCTCTGGGGGGGGGGGGGGGGGGGGGGGGGGAGGGGCTTGGGACTCCTGTAACTTTCTGAGCTCCCTGCGTCTTGTGAACCCCTCCTCCCTCAGGAAGGCCTTGGGAAGGGGGGGGGCTCTTCAACTACAGCTCTGGAGGCTGTGCAGCCCCGGATGGCTGGAGTCCTCTGGTTGTCAACAGGTGAGCTTTTGACCCTGTACATGCTGGGCTTCCCCAGAGTAAAGGAAAGGGGTTAGGAACTCCCTGGCCTCTCAGGGAAAGCCCGGCCCTTGCTCAAGGGCAGGACTCAATGATTCAGGAAGCTGCTTGGCCACCAGCACTTATTGGCCCCACATCTCCAGAACTATGAGAAAAAGCCAAACAAGAGTAAGCATTGTGGCTTCAGAAATCTCTGAGTGTCTCGGAAAACCAGGAGCAGCAGGGAGGGTTTCAGGAAGATGAAGATGGCTCCTCAGCTCACGGCAGCTGTTTTTGCTCTTAATGCCAGGCAGTCATGCCCCTGCCTCACCTCACTCCAGCAATGCCTTGTGCTCTGTGTCGGGCCCTGCAGAGGGGGACAGCCCCTGTTACTCTCTCGTGTACTTGTTCATTATTAAAATTCCCCTGACCTCAGTTTTTTGTAAGATTCCACCGATATGCACCAATGGGCCATCCTCTCTTTATTGCAGAAGCAATGCTGGTTATTGTCTGACAGGCTGGCCACAGCACCTCCCGCCATAGCTGCTCCCAAGCGATGAGCATGTCTGTGATGCCTGAACCCCCTGGAGAGGGAAATATATACATAAATTATAAATAAATATATACACATATATATTAAGAGACTGCAAAAGATCTGAATTAAAGGTATGTCTTCCCAATTTAAAGATATAGATTAGAAATGGATCTTCATACTTCAAATTAAGCAAAAATCCCTCACCAGTATATCTCATTTTTGAGTTTTATTTAATTCCAGATACAGTCAGGTTGACAACCAAGAACACCCACCACAGTCCCATGTCTTTTATATGAACTGTCCAGAATAGGGGATCCATTAGGGACAGAGAGCAGGTTCCCGTCGGCTAAGGGATGTGGCTTGGGTGAAGGGGGCGATAGCTGGTGAGTGACAGCGTTCCTCTTTGAAGCCACAATTGAGAGCGGTGGTGGTGGTGGTTGCGAAGCTCTGGGATCCATCACAAACCGTGCGGGTGGTCAGGGTTGACAGGATCTAGACTCACCTGGAAGACAAACCTCTGCGTGGGTCTGTGAGGGAGTTTCTAGGCTGAGTTTATGGAGGTGGGAAGACTCCCACTCAGTGTGAGCAGCACCACCCCATGGAGTCCCAGACTGAACAAAAAAAGGAAGAGGGCAAGCTGAGCACCAGCACTCACCTCTCTCTGCTTCCTGACTGCGGAGCCCATGTGGCCACCCGCCTCACACTCCTGCCACCATGCCGTCCCTTGCCATGGCAGACTGCACCCCAACTTGGAGCACAGGCTCCCTTCTTTGAGTGGCTTTTGTTGGGTGTTTTCATAGCAATGAGGAGATTAATCAACACACGTGGTAGCGCCCACTTTCAATATGGGAGTGGGGGGAAAAGGAGCTCAGAGAAGTATGCCCACCGTGTTATTCACAACTAAGACCTGAACAAACAGATAAATGAGCATAGGACATGTGCACATACACACAGTGGAATTCTACTAGACCATAAAGAAAAGTCAGGGCACTGGCAGGAAACTGTGGACCTGGAAATTATCATGTTAACTGAGATAGGCCAGATTCAGAAGGCAAATGCTACGTGTGTGTGTGTATGTGTGTGTGTGTGTGTGTGTGTGTGTGTGTGTGTGTGTGTGTGTGTGTGTGTGAGAGAGAGAGAGAGAGAGAGAGAGAGAGAGAGAGAGACCTTGAGAAAGGAAATCTCTTAAAAGGAGTTATGTCGAGGAGGAGGGTAACGGAATGCAAGAGACATGAAAGGGAAGGGTGTCACCGTGTCAGGAGAAGGAGCTGACTGCAGGGGTGGGGTGTGATGGTTATTTTTATCAACACAGCACAACCTAGAATCACCCAGGGAGAGTCTTAATGAGGAATTTTAGGTCAGCTGGGTGGTGGACACATCCCTGGGGGATTGTCTTGACTGCTGATTGGTGCAGGCAGACCCAGCCTGTGGTGAGTGGCACCCCTTCCCAGGCAGGTGTCCTGAACAGTCTGAGGGACCGAGCAAGCCAGGCCCTGTGTGTTTATTCTCTTTCGGCTCTTACCTGTAAATGTGACTCGGTGCTCAGGTTCCTCTTAACATCCCCCCATGATGGTCTGCAACCTGGAACGGGGAGCCAAACAAATCCCTTTCCCTCCAAGTTCCCTGTCAGGGTGTTTTATCACAGTGACAGAAATTAAATTAGAGCAGTGGGGAGGGCAGTGAGGAGAGATGAAGAAGAACGAAGTATAACGATGGATAAAAAGAAGCTACAGATAAAATTGCCACAATGAACCCCATTACTTCATAAGCCGACTTTTAAAATTAATGAAAATAAATCAATTTACTAAAATAATAATAGGAGAACATACCCACCAAGCAAACCTGCCCCTGAAGAGACGGGCAGGCAAACAGACCTGTGGAGATGTGAGGGTTTTTTTTTAATATTTTGTCTTTTATAATAAAATTTACTTAGCTCAAAATATAAGCAAATGTATCTAGGGAGATAAGTGCTCAGCAGTTAAGAGCACTCCCTGCTCTAAAAGAGGACTCAAGTGTAGTTCCCAGCACCCGAGGTCTGGTGGCTCACAATGAAAACAAGACAGCTCCACACAAGCAGAAGGCATCAGCGCTGGCATTGTGCTGAGTGCCACGGACACCAAAAGACACACAGACGTGGCTCCATTGGTAGACTGTTTGCATAGCACACACAAAGCTGTGGGTCAAGGCCCCAGCATTCCATAACCCAAGCATGGCAGTACACACCTGTAATCCCATCCCAAGAGAGGTAGAAACCAGGAGGATCAGTTCAAGGTTATCCTCCACTACATGCCTAGTCTGGGGCCAACCTGGGCTACATGAGACCTTGTCTCAACAGAAAAAAAAGAAGGGGGGCAAGAGAGATGATTCAGTGGTTAAAAGCCTAGCACACACACTCATGCACACACACACACACACACACACACACACACACACACACACATGCACACGCACATAAATAAAAATAAATCTTAAAAATCAGTAAGTAAATAAAGAAGTATATATCATGAGCAGCATGCTGGGTGAGCTATTATGTAATCTCTATGAAGCTTGGCATCTGCCACAAATGTGCACTGAAGCCCGTGACTCCACCTGTGAAGGACTAAGTCCCCAACAGCACCATGGGGCTGGAGACTCGCTTCTATCTTCTGTTTTCTCTACGTTCTTGAGCTCAGCATCCTCCAGGTAACCTGCTCCAGGGTCTCAAGCCAGGCTGACCACTGGCAGTCATGATGCCACCAGGGTCCCCAGGCATCAGCACCAACTGATACTGCTTCTGAGCAAGGATGTCATCTGCTGTTTCCTTTGCCACCCTGGTCACTCATCCTCAGGTTCCCCCAACAGACAGATCAACTCATCCTGCAAGCAAGGCTAATCCACACCCTCATGATACCTCCCAGGCTCTCATGTTCGAGGCTGGGGATCCTTCCCACGAGAGGAATCAGACCCAGCAGAGTGGACACCTGACCATATTTGTCCCACAGATATTCACACCAAGTTGGAAGCAGAGGATGAGGCCAGGTGAGCTCAGGAGAAGATGGTAGGCATCTCTGAGGGGCCCATGCACTTTGCTGCCTTGCTGCTGTGCACAGAAAAATAAGGTCCAGTAGGGGACGGTGGGCCTGTTTGCACACCACACTGTTCAAACAGACTCCCCTGCCGCAGACACCTGTGCGGTGGAGGACAGTGGGCAGTCGCAGGGGCTCTCACCTCGTCCCCCTTCTTCCCACAGCCACCCTGACATCTGCGGCAGGATCCTGGCCACACCATGCCCTGTGTTGGGCTCTGCAGCTGTTGGGGTGGCCAGGTACTGCCCTTGCTTGTGGCCTATGTCTGCTACCTGCTGCTTGGGGCCACCATCTTTCGGCCGCTGGAGAAAGAGGCAGCAGCTCAATCCAGGGACTGGTTCCAGCTGGAAAAGCTGTGCTTCTAGAGAAGTACAGCTGCCTGGACCAGCAGGCCAGCAGAAGTTTGTGCAGGTGAGGGAGTAAGGAAGGGTGGGACAGGAAGAGCGGAAGGTGGGTGGAGGGGGCCGATGGCAGGTGCAGAGCCACCGCCCAGAGGTTGAATCCTGTTTGGAGAGAGGGCGGTGGGAACTGGAGCCTGGTGAAACCCAGTCCAGAGCCTGACCCTCGACTACAGCTAGACCACTACATGGCCTTGATCAAATCACTTGTCCTAAGTGCTTCCCATCCAAATATGAGGATCTGAGTTGAATGCCCAGAACCCACATGAAAAATCCAGGTGTGGGGCAAGCGAGCCGGCTCAGCTGGCAAAGGAATTTTCCATCAAGCCTGAAGACCCGAGGTCAACCCAGAGCACATTTGTTAACCCAGCACTGGGTAGGCCAAGACAAGCAGATCCCTAAGGCTATCTGGCCAGCCTTGACAAATAGGCAAGCCCCACTCAAGCCAGTGAGAGAAACGGTCTCAGAAACATGGCAGAAGGCTGGAAGACAGCTTAGTGGGCAATAGGACTTTCTTTGGGGACCTGATTTGAATTCCCAGCACCCAGGTAAAACTCTGCTATGATGGCAAGTATATGTGACTCCAGCATTGGACAGGAAGGGAGTTGGGTCCCCCAAGAGCTCATTGGCCAGCCCAGGGGCATGCTTCCAGCTTGGTGAGAGACCCAAGGCGATGGGGTGGGAAGTGGTAGGAAGACACAGGCATCCCACTCAGGCCTCCTCTGAGCACACTCACACATTCAGAAATGTGCACCAGAGAGAGAAGAAGGGAAAGACGGGGCAGGGAGGGGGCGGGGAGGGAGAGGGGAGGAGAGAGACAGAGAGGAGAGGGGGAGGGAGAGAAAAGGAGAGAGAGGAGAGAGGGGGAGGGAGAGAGAAAGAGAGAGATTAAAGAAGGAAAACTAGAGCTGGAAAGATGGCTCCATAGTTAAGAGCAGTGGATGCTCTTCCGGAGGACGCGGGTTCAATTCCCTACCCACATGGTGGATCCAGGAGATCCTGTGAGCACCAGGCTCACATGTGGTACAAAGACATACATGCAGGAAAAATGTATATACACATAAAATAAAATAAATCTTTTTTTAAAGAAATAAGAAGGCTGATGGCTCTGAGGAGTGACACCTGCAGTTGACTTCTGACCTCCACATGTATATGCACACAACTGTCTGCACATACACAAGCATGTATTACACACACATACACAAGGGTGCTGTCTTTACTGCTGTCGAATGTCGAGCACAATCTCCCTGAGCTGTCACTTGATATACAGACACTCTAGAAATTTCCCCTCCCATACTCTCCAATTCTCAGGACTGATGCTTGTCTGCTGGCTCTCAGGGTGTGCTCCTGGGTGGAGACACAGATAAAGGTGAGGACCAACTGTCATACTAGACTCGCTCCCTCGCTGAGCTGGTGGACAATGGCCAAGCACATTGGCAGAGTGATAACTGGCCACTAGTGAGCGTCTCTGACATGCGTTGAGGGGTGGGGACCAGACCTCCGTTCCATTGTGGCTCCCCATCGTGGGGCTGAGCACACACAGGTGTTTTCTCCCAGCTGTCTACTGCGATCAGCATCTCCAACTTATAGGTGAGAGCTGAGGCCGAGGAGATGCAGGGTATGGACCAGGGCTCAGCCACTGGCTGAGGCAGAACTCACACCCATGCTTCTTGCCGGGGTGCCCTTTACTCTTCACTACACAAATTAGCACACACATTGGGGGCAGGGTACTGTCGAAAGTGAGAGTTCTCCAGGTAGTGTCCATGGACCACCACCACCACCAGCACCTCCACCACCACCACCAGCACCTCCACCACCACCAGCACCTCCACCACCACCACCACCAGCACCTCAACCACCACCACCACCACCACCAGCACCTCCACCACCACCACCAGCACCTCCACCACCACCAGCACCTCCACCACCATCACCACCAGCACCTCAACCACCACCACCACCACCACCAGCACCTCCACCACCACCACCAGCACCTCAACCACCACCAGCACCTCCACCACCACAGGTAGCACCTGAGAGCTTATTAGGAAATCAAGTTGCAGACCCACTCAGACCTGCTGACTCAGGGACTGAATGAGGTCACCAGGTGATGCTGAGGCCCGGAGACTTCTCTTGGAACTGAGAGCAGCTGATCTCCAAGATGAGATGTCAGCAGAGAGTGTTGCCCCTGATTTTCCAGGATCAGAGCATTCCTTACTCCATGCATATATTTTACTCAGTGATGGTGCTCATCTTCAGGTACCCCCACATCCCAGGAGTGAGCCAGAGACAGGGACACCTCAAGTCTTCTCCTGTCTCAGCCCTGGGCTGGAGGTGGAACCAGGAACGAGCAGTGGACAGACAGTGGTCAGGCTCAAACTGGTTCTGCAATTAAGGACAAGGATCTAGGTCTGACTGCAGACTAGAGGGACCAGTGTGTAGGACCAGGGACTCGATGGGAAACATATCCCTCAAAGTCCTCAGTCTCCTGACGGCAAACAGAGCCTGGAGGCAGAGAAATGCTGGAGTAACATTTGGAGGAAACCCAGTCCTGGAAACACACATGCTGAGCCATGAACACGGTGCTGAATGTAGTATTCAAACACGATTCCGTGAGGACACCTGTAGACCCGCCTCTTTCTCCTTCACCATTGGATTCTCAGAGACAAAGATGCCGCAGCCACTTGAGGCCACTCAGTCACGCTCAGAGCCCTTAGGGAGGCCAGAGCCCCTTCTCCACAGGACAGAGGGCCTAGAGGTGCAGAGGGAGAGTCAGAGACCTGGGAACATGCCGTCCCCAAGAGTGGGGTCTCCAGGGAAGGGACATGCTCTGAAATGTCTGGCCCAGCTCTCTGCATGTGTGGGAAAGAGGAAGATCTTAAGAAGCTAGTTCCTGCCCAAGTGAGAGCCAGGAGGCCTCCACCCAGCAAGTGGAAACCAGCTCCCACAGGAAGGGAGGCAGGAGTGGCAGCCATACTTCCATCCCCCCCTCCCCCGCACCCCTTTGGAGCACTGCCGGGGAACAAGAACGAGTTGGTGCCGCCCTGGAACAAGTTTCCAGTTAGAGGAAAGAGGGCCAGAATTGGGGAGAGGGAGCCCTGCCCTAGAAACACAAAACACAGACACACAAAGCATACACACCCGTGTAACACAGAGCATGGCACAGCACACTGACAACACACTACGTGTGCCCAGCCCACGTAGCCTCTCTCCTGGGTCCCTGATGTAACTTCTTCTGCAGGCGTGGACTATGCTCACTAGAGGGCGCTAGAGAGCAAAGCGGCCAGCTCCCTGGACGCCCAAAGCTCTCAGGCTCCCACCACATACCCAATGGGAGGGAAGCCCCAGACCCCACCTTCCCAAGCAGACCCTTCCAGAAGTATCCAACGTCAACCTCATCTTGTCCTAACTAATGTATATGTGTGTGTCATTTCTGTCACCAAAAGCATCTCCACACCTCCTCCTTAGGCCCCTGGCTCTCCACGCATCAGAGCACACACCTCAGTCAGCCTTGGCTACTCGGTCTTAGCCACTCAGAGATCATGTCCCCTTCTGTGAAATGGGAATGATGTTGTTTAAGAGACTTATTAAACGTAAGCTCACAAAAGCATCCTCCTGAGAGCTGCTTGGTGACAGCGGGCCTCAGCAATCGTTAGCCCCTCCCCTCCTGACCATGCCACCTCAACAGGTCGTCCGGGAAGCCTGGGTGAAAGGCATGAACCCCAAAGGCGACTCCGCCAACCCCTGCAACACGGACTTCGGAAGCAGTTTCTTCTTTGCAGACACGGTGGTCACCACCATAGGTAAAGGGGAGGAGAGAGAGGGGCGGGGAGGGAGAGGCCTCCTCAGGCCCCGCTCAGCCTGGGATCGCTTCCAAAAGCTATGGTTCGAGGATGTGGTTTATGCAGGTGGTGATGCAGGAAGCACAGATGGGGACATGGTGACACAGTAACAGAGGAAGGCAGTAAACCCTGCTGCTCCGGGCTGGGTTCACCTCCCCGGGTCCTCTGAGGGGCTGGGCAGAGCCCTTCCTCAGCACAGCTGCATGAAGGCAAGCATGGGTCCCTCTGTTGACTTCAGTCCTGGCTGGCAGAGAGCTGGTTCTGGTGTGTTAATGCTCCAACTCTGTGCACCTGGCCACAGACCAGAATGTCCTTTCAGAGAGATATAGTAAAGAGAGGTCATTTGTGCATAGGGGCAGCCCCTCAAAACTGCAGTGACATCCCAGTATCCCCAGGAGATGGGATATCAGCAGAAAGCCGACTCCACCCACCCCAGCCTCTCACACAGGCCTCCCTTCCATTCAGTTAAGCCACAATCCAATCACAAACACCTTCCTTGGCAATCCAGGAAGAGTGTTAGAATACGGGTTGGGGTATGAATTTAGATACAACCCAGGCTTGGCTTCCCAATTCACTAAAGAGGGATTGAATTACTATGATTACATAAGGCAAATGGGATAATTAAATAGAAACGACACAAAACATGATTCCCGGGCAGAAAGGCAGAGGGTGGCAGTCGGGAGGGCTTCATGGAGGCAGCATCATTGGAGAAGAGAATTCTGTAAGTAGAGATTGCTCTAGCAGAGGGTAGGATGAGTGCCACGGGAACTTCTTTTCCTCCCCCAGAGGTGATGGAGACAAGCCTCTGCTATAGCTGCTGTCTGAAGGCAGTTCTGATCTCTCTTCCCCTGATATGCACACTCCCTTGCCTGGCAGGCTATGGAGAACTGGCGCCCCACACAGAGATGGGGCAGGCCTTTTGTGTCTTCTGTGCCCTGCTAGGCATCTCACTTAGCGTGGTCTTCCTCAACCTGACCACATTGGACAGGTGGGAGGACCAGCTCAGGCATTCCCAGGTAGGATGGTATCTTCTGGAGCCCCTGGGACAGACAGCTGCAAATGTGGAGATGGGCTTGGGTGTATGAGGTTAAGGGCAGACACCCGAGAGTTCAGACAACCGCAAGGCTGAACAGGGAGACCATAGAAGAGTGATTCAGGCCGCACAGGGCATGACCTCAAAGTTCTCTGCAACACACGAGAGCACGGAGTTGACTTGCCAAAAGCTGAGGGCCAGATACTGGGTACGACTTCTCTGGGAGGATTGTGCCCAGGTGCCAGGTAGTTCTTTGGAGCAGAAGTTTGAATGTCATGTCTCCATGTTCATCATGGACTTCCAACATCCTTTTGCGTGGTTCAAAACAGTCTCTAGGCCACCCAGTGAGCCCTAGAGCTCACTGCCACAGAAGGACTAGGACATCTCGGTAATAGTTGCCTCATCCCAGATCTGAGTCCCTGAGAGAGCCTATGCAAGCGTAATCCTCAAGTTCAAAGGGGTCTTCCTCCTTGACCAATTAACACATCCCCTGCCCCGGGAGGCCTGACACAGGCTTATCACCCAACCCAGTCCACACCCAACTCTTCCCAGACCTTCCCCATATATTCCCAGACCCTTCCAAGTGTTCTCAAAGGCAGGCCCACCCTTTGCAGCTCCTGCAGATCCTGGGCCTTGCTCTGTTCCTGACCCTGGGGACCCTGGTCATCCTCATCTTCCCACGCATGTTATTCAGCCATGTGGAGGGCTGGAGCTTTCGCGAAGACTTCTACTTTGCCTTCATCACCCTCAGCACCATTGACTTCGGGGACTACGTTGTCGGTGAGAATGAGATAATTAGGTACCCTGGTGGGCACTCACTAGAACCTGGGGTACATGGAGGTACCAGCAGAGGCTGGTTATCTCTGGGACCCTTGTGGATTCTTGGTGGTATCCTCAGAAGTCTCTGCTTTTTCTGTCACTGGCCCTTCTTACGAGGACCAGGGAGAGAACACCCCATGGAATCTGGGGTTGGCTGTGCCCTCAGACACCAGCCATCACCTTCCCTGGCAGGCACAGACCCCAGCAAGCATTACATCACCATGTACCGGAGTCTGGCAGCTGTATGGATCCTCCTAGGGCTGGCATGGCTGCCAGTGTCCTCAGCCTGGGGTTCCTGCTTCTGCACAGATGCCCCCGTCTCTGGCTGCTCATCAGAGGCCTGGACCTCAAGGATGAAGGAGACCCTGACCCTGACCCCAGACCTCAGGAAATCCCCAAGTGTTCCAGCCACCCATCCTGCCTCACCACCACCAAGCCCACGTCATCCCCTGCCCTTCCTCTCCAACCCACACACTTCCCACAAAGGGTGGTCAGTAATTCTCCAAAGAGAATGGAGACAGGTGTGCCTACACAGTAATTTAAGGGAGATGCAGAGACAAAATTCAGAGATTTATGTGGGTGAATATTTGCATGCTGGCCTCAGAGCCCCTTTCCCTGGTCCCCCAAAGAGGACCCAGAAAAACCTACATCATCGCCACCTTCACACACCAGCAGTCCTTAGACTGTGAGCAAAGATGGAGCTGGTTCTTTCGTTAGTTGCTACATACACACTCGGCCCTCAACCAGTCCCCACTTTGCGCCAGGCCTGCACCAGGTCTGGGGACATGACAGTAACTGTCCCTACCCCTGCTGCGTCTTCAGTCTGGAAGGACTGGACACATGGAGAGGCAGCCCCAGTGCCTCACCCCCAGAGCATTGACTGACTGGAACAAAACGGGAGAGAACGAGAGTTCAGGGCGGTGGCTGGGGGATCGGAGCTGGGCACACACCCAGGGACACAGTTGGTGCACACAGGAAACCGCCCTCGGGAGGCTCACAGCTGCAGGACTCTGAACTCAGAGGCTGCCTGTCAGCACTCTCCTGCTCTCCTGGGCCACAAGTGAAAAGGTTTTTCCCCCAACAAGGCTTGGGATCTCTTCTGGGTGTCCCACTACCACTTTCCTGAAAATGACCCATGGGGCATTCCTGGTCCTCACTACTCCTCTTGAGAAACTGAAGGGGCAGCAGACCCCAGGAGCCTTACAGAATAAGTTTCCAGGGCCTAGGCTCCCATGGGAACACACTCTCCATCTGCACCTGATCCTTCTGCCAGATTTCAGCACCATGGGCCAGAAGGGAGGAGAGGCTGGCCCATCTGCCTCTACGCCCAGTATTAAAAGGATTAGGAGCTAGCTCTTCCTTGAGTGTCCTCTCTCCCCAGCTGCAAGGAGGTTTCTAAGTGTCTGTGTGTTTGCAGCATTGGGGGAGTCCAGGAGGTTGAGGGGAGCCCCTGGGAAGAACCCACTCCCGTGGAGACATTCTCTACCCCCACCCCGGACTTATAGCCCCTCAGGAAAAGACTGAAATCTGAAGGCCTCCATCAGCTCTATACATGCTGGCCCTGCCTCTGCTCTGGGTGAATGGGAACTCAGAGACCTCCTCCGGAGCAGCAAGGATGAGCCTGGGGTCACATGTTCTTGCCTCCCATACACACAGACAAAGCCTAGCGGGGGCCTTTTTCTTGGAGAGCACCTACTGTAGGGGAACCTAGTGTGGTGCTGACCGCGCAGGCACTTGGAGGAAGCCCCTGGTCTCACAACTTAGACAGGAGCCCTGTGACAATAAACTTTGAAGTTTCTCTTCCACACTGGATTGCAGGAGTCCTTCTTCCCTCTGAAGGGAAGCACTGAGCGGGGCAGGCAGGGGTCCGGGTCCTTCCCTCCCCTCGCCTGTGACTACCTGGAAGCCCTTCCTGTTCCCCTAATGTTGAGGTGGGCACTCCAACTCTCTGGCGAGTTATTTTTTTGTCACTGGGATTGGATCCTAGAGGGTGGGCAGGGCTGCACTCCTCCTCGGAGGAAAGCAGGCCACCGGCAAGCAGGCGTTTGCTTAGAGAAAAGCCCCTCCCGGCCTTTCCTGCCCTTTCCCGGTTCCTGTCTACCAGAGCGCTCCTGGGCTCTGGCCTCTCCACCATGTGCGGACCGCGATCTCCTAAGGCACCCTGTTGGGCCCGGGGCTGTCGGGGTACCAGGCACAGGGCTCCTCTTGCTCACCTACCTGGCTTACTTGGTGCTGGGCACCGGTGTATTCTGGGCACTGGAAGGTCCTGCGGCCCGGAACTCCAGCCGCATCTTCCAGCGCGACAAGTGGATGCTACTACAGAACTTCACGTGTCTGGACGGCCCATCGCTGGACCTGCTGATACAGGTTAGGGGACTAGTGGAGCCAGCCTGGGAAAGAAGGGGTGGGGTGGGTGCGAAGGGGCGGGAGCTCACAGCAGGGATGAAGAGTGCTCTGGCCGGCAAAGCGCTGGGCATGGTTATCCCTTAGAGAGGTGGAGTAGACAGGCTTGGGAAAAACAGGGTTGTGAGGTTGGGGGTGGGTAACCACGGGGATGGGCTGGACCCAGTGGAAAGCGGCTCTGTCTTTAAGGTAGTGAGAGGGCAGTACTAGCCCTGTAGGAAGACCCTTCTAGAACACACCATAAGGAATACAGAGGAGCGCTTCCCTGGGTCACAAGCTGCAAGGCTGTCCGATGGGGTCATCATGGGGACAGGTAGCATTTGGTCTGGTCAGCCTTGTGTGGGGTTTACAGAAACAAAGGGCCAAGGATGAAAGGCCACACCTAGTCTTTCAAAGGACAGGGGAGGAGCAAATACCTTGGGGGCGTGGCCAGACTCTAAGGAGGAACCTGACCTGGTGGGAGCATGGAACTTGGGAGAAAGGGCGCAGCCTATGCCTTTGGGTAAAACAGGGCTCAAGTACGCTTGTCTGGGCCGGGCCCAGAGCAAAGGCAAGAGGGAGCTGAGAGTTAGGGGACTTGGACTGGACCCAGGGCTAAGGTCACCTTACCTGAAACATTGGCACATTAAGAGCAGACACCCTCCCCACCTGCAGTCCAGGCAGGGATGAAAAAGGGGCAGAGCAGGGGAGAGTGCAGAGGTCACTGAGTCAGAGGCTCCTCAGAGGATGGGGATGCTGCAGGGTCTGCAGGCAGGAGGTGGCTCATCCTGGCAGGGCTTCCCCTGGAGAGCTCTTCCTGGCCCCCGTGGACCAAGGGGCTGGCAGCTGAGCAAATCAGCATTTGCATTACTATTTTACTCCACATCCCTCCCTCAAGTGCAGGGACAGAGCTTAGACCCACAGGCCTCAGTGCAGAATCCTCACTCTCCTGCGATGGTTCCATTACAGAGTGGGGCAGGACCTTTGTCCCCAAGCCCTTAAACTGAAGCCAAATCCCCTTTGGGGAGAGAAAATTGTTGGAGTGGGGCAGAAGGGATGATGAGTGGAGGTGAAATTCCAACCTCTGGACAGGCCGGTCGGGCTGGGCCTGTCTGACCATCACCAGCAAATGCTCCTGTTGCAACCCTCCCCTTGCCCAGCCCCGCCTCACATGTCTCACTAGCAGATACTACCATCCCCATTAGGAGATGAACCGTGGCTCCACTTAGAGATGAAGCAAGGCCCAGAGAGATTTAATATCGACGCAAGGCTGCACAGCCAAGAGCGGAGGCTGTCAATCACCTGGAGGCTGCTTTTGTGTAGCCCTGTGTACCTGGATGCTTCTCAGAATCCCATGATTTTATGTCCAGGGCACAGTATGAGCTGCCAGCCTCTGCTCCTGCTGCCCTGCCTTCTGAAAGCCTTCTCAGTGGGAAGACCCTCCGAGGAAGCCCAGCTGAAGTGACACTCCCCCACGAAGCCCCATCATCTCTGTGTTCCCACAGTGTGGTATCCCTAAGAAGACAGCAACTGTTCACCACTGTTAGTGTTCCATTTCACAGATGAGGAAACTGAGGTGTGAAGAAACTGAGGACCTCCTCCTACACAGTCTCCTTCATACCCGAAACAGTCACGATGGCCCCATATCAGCGTTAGCTCAGTTCTCCTGTCCCACTGGAGACCGAGGTCATGTCTGTCTTCTGGCAACATCTGCCTATTGCTTCCTGCAAGAGTAGGACTGAGCTAGACAGCAAATGAGTAGTTAAGCCTGTGAGATAGCCTAGAACCTGGCTCTAGGATAAGGAGGAGAAGGGGTTGTCCCCATGATCTCTGCCTCTGCCCCAAACAGACTTGGAATAAGGAGGGAGATATTGTGTGAGTTTTTCTGGGGACACATGTGTTGCGGTAGCGCCTGCGCTACCAGCACCCGTTCACCAAGTCCGAGCGAGGGGCTGTGGATTAAAAAATAGAGACAAGAAACAGCGAGTCATTCGCCACAGCCGAATGCCAAATGCCGTTTATTGAAAGAGTGAGGAAACCTTAAATACAGGCTTACAGCACAATGGGGGATCCCCGGAGGGCAGAAGTTCGCTACCCAATGTTCTACATTCTTGCATCTAAGCTGTTTACACCAATATGCAGGATACACAAACAAGGAACCTCCGGTGAGTGTTCAGGAAGAAGGAAACCCGCATGGAATCAGCATAGGGAGGACATCTGGTCAAGGTTGGCAAGCAGGCAATAGCTTGCTCAAAATGGGAGGGCCAGGGCCCTACACGCATGAAAAAGTCTTTTCAAGTCAGATAGGGTACCAATGATTGACCAAAGAAACAATCCCGCCCACTTCTAGCTGGGTGAACCAGTGAGTTATTGGGGTTACTAGAAGGAATGTGGGTGACTGAAAGCAGCCACATCACAGAAACGTTCACCCCAACAGGAGTGACACCTCACATCCCTAGAGCTCACTGCACAACTTGTAGGCAGCTCTTCTGAAGAGTCCCCTCTCCTCAGCAGTTGTTATGTGAAATTTAACTTGGGGCAGGGGCTTGTGACTGCTGTAGCTTTCTGAGCCTGCAAGTCATGGGAGCTTCTCTCCTCTCTTCAGGAGGAAGGGTATCACTTTGCAGAAACTGTCTATACAACATGAGGCCCCTGTAAAAGTGTGGGTGTAGGTGTGGCTATAGACTGGGTGTGGGCATGTCTTGGGGTGCAGGGGCCCAGTCTCCCCTCCCAAGATCCTGTTGATCACTGCAGCATCTCCCCCAGGGCATCATCCAAGCATACAAAGATGGGACCTACCTCCTGGACAATACTGCCAGCATGGGGCGCTGGGAGTTTGTGGGCTCTTTCTTCTTTTCCGTGTCCACCATCACCACCATCGGTAAGGGCAGCATGGGGACAAGCTGGTGGGGGTTGGAAGGTAGCCTCACCCTGAGGGGCCAGTGGTGGCATTCTAGAGAGTGTCATAGGGTGTCACCCCTGTAAAGCAGTCATATCTGCAAGCACACTCCCACACTCCTGCAGGCAGTATCTCATGCCTCAGGACCTGTGGACTTGGTTTCTGAATTTCATCAGACACCAGGGGAACTGTATGCATATTCCAGTTTGGGGACTGATGCCCTAGAGGACTTTGGTCACCCAGCCCAGCCCCATAGACCCTCCCAGCCCACCAGCACCTCTCAGTCCCTATCACTATCCTCCAGACACATTTCCCCTCCAGAGCCGGGCTGAGGTGGAACTTGTCTTGAAAGCACCTGAAGCTGTTGTGTGGAAACAGTGTGCACAGAAAGCCTTGGATCCCAGGAAACATTTCTGGTCGGCTGCTCTGGTGCCCTTGTCCTCTGCATCACCTGCATGACCCAGGACTGTCCACCGGGTGGCAGGCTCACACCACTGAAGGCTCAGGCTCCATCTTCCCTCTTCCCTGACCAGCATCCTTTTGAGCCTGGTCTTCTCTTCCCAGCTCCCACCACCCCACCCCACCCCACCTCACCCCCACCCCCCCACCCCACCCCCCCAACACACCTCCAGAACACCCACCTCTACTGGAGCCATGACTGATCTCAGCACTTGAGAGGTGGAGGCAAGCGGATCAGGAGCTCAAGGTTACATAAAAAGTTTGAGGCCAGCCTGGGCAACACAAAACCTTGTTTGAACACAAACAAAATAAAACAGGAGTGGAAAGGGGGTGGAAGATCCAGAGAAAGAGACCTCTGAGGTTCTCAGGCCAGATGCCCTCATGGTAATCTTCCATCATGAGTCATCCCACTCAGCCGGGTACCCACTCAAAGCTCAGGGGTTCACCTTCCCACCTGCAGTATGTCCCCACTGTGGCCTCTCATTACACCAATGCCAGTGAATGCCTGCAGCCCGTTTTAAGATCCAGAAAGCAGGCTCAGACAGACCAAGGCCTTTGACCAGGTTCCCACAGTCTTGCAGGGGTCAGAGCCCAAGAAGTGGAGCCAGAGAGCTCCACTGGCCACCTGTGCCCTGATGTGCCAGTCCCGCTCTATCTCACCATCATGGGTAGGCAACCAGCTGCCCTCCCCCCAGTGTGGGAGTGGAACAGGAGGGCCACAGCGACTATGCCCAGAGCTGGGGGAAGGGTCCCCTTAAATACCCCTCCCTCCTGCATCAGGCTACGGCAACCTGAGCCCAGAGACCATGGCTGCCCGTCTCTTCTGCATATTCTTTGCTCTCGTGGGGATTCCGCTCAACCTGGTGGTGCTCAACCGGCTGGGCCATCTTATGCAGCGAGGGGTGCACCGATGTGTCCAACGGCTTGGGGGCAGCTGGCAGGTGAGACTGCAGGACCCTGGACGAGTCAGCTCCAGATGGGGGACTGTGGTGGAAATGGAGTGCGGAGCCAGAAGGAGTGGGATCAGGAAGATGAAGTGGGTGGTAAGGTTGTGGGAGCAAAGCCCAGAAGAGGGTCTTTGATCGTTAAGGTGTCCATGGTGGGCGCAAGAAGGCTGGGAGGACTCAAAGCCACCAAGGCTTTTGGAAGGAAATGTGGGGGGACACAAAGCTGGAGAGGTGGGCGTGGGGCATCCCCTTCCTGCTGCTCAGGACAGAGCCACAGACCGTTGCTGTGTGCTGCAGGACCCCGCGCAGGCGCGGTGGCTGGCGGGCTCGGTGGCGCTGCTCTGGGGCCTTCTGCTCTTTCTGTTACTGCCTCCACTTCTCTTCTCCCACATGGAAGGCTGGAGCTACGTGGAGAGCTTCTACTTCGCCTTCATCACACTCAGCACGGTGGGCTTCGGCGACTACGTGATCGGTGAGTGGCCCTGGGCTGAAGAGGGGGTGACCCAGTTGCCCGGACCTCCCAGGCAGGCCTGGGAGTGCGCTGCGGGTGACTGGTGTCTCATGTGGGTGGCTTGGTGGGCCTGGGGCACCGCTTTCCACCTAAGTAGGCTCTGCCCTTTCCCAGGGTGGTGGGTTGTGATTTCTCAGGTCCTGCCTGCCAGTGTGGAGCTGTCGTCCAGAGCTACGGGCTTAATCAGCGACCTAGAGGGCCACACAGCCCTCGGACCTCCCTCACTTCCATGCATCCCGTTCCCACCCACCCAACCCGGGCGAGGACCCTGGTGAAACAATCAGGGAACTCAGAGCACTCAGTCTCCCTTGGGCCTCAGGAGGAAATGACAGCCAATATAAGCCTGCCAGGAAGGCCTGGAATGGGGTCCCTTAGTGCTGTCCCCTGGGCCGTGCAGGCACCGCAGAGATGCTGATTTTGCAGGAGACAGTGGAGGCAAGTGTGAGGAAGGTGTCAATGGAGGAACAGTGGCTCCAGGCAGCCTCGGCATCTCTCTGTCTCTGTCTGCCTCTGTCTGTCTGCCTGTCCGTCTGTCTGTCTGTCTCTCTCTGTCTCTCTCTCTCTCTCTCTCTCTCTCTGTCTCTCTCTCTCTCTCTCTCTCTCTCTCTCTCTCTCTTCTGCTGGCACTGAAAAGATCCAAGAGTAAAGGCCACAGGTTTCTTCACTACCCGGGGCAGCCTTGGCCATGGCTCTGGGATGAGGACGGAGTGTCATGATAACTTTCTCCTGGGCTGGGGGCTGGGGGACTAAACATCCCTCCCCACTCTTTCTAAGGTCTCAATAAGAAACCAAAGTTTGCTTCCACCAAAGCTCCCCTCGGGGAGTCCTTGGATTTATTGAGCACGGGTGAGGGTCACAGGCAGGAGCATGGGTGACACTAAAGTATCTGTCCTGGAAGGTTTTCATCCAGCACGGATGGCGACCTCTCCATGGCTACAAAGACGAAGCCCCTCCCCTAGTCCTCCCCAGCCTACGTACTCTCACCCTCCGAGACACCCTGGACCACATGCAGTTAGGGCAGAGTTGCATGCAACTGGCTGGAAGGAGTGGCTGGATGCTCGGGTGAGGGTCCGACGGCTCACCCCACCACCCCTTCTGAGAGAGAAGGTCGTCAGTCCACAAGATCAGCAGTCCAGCTGTGACCACCTTTTGCAAGTGGGTCCAGCTGATCCATGAAGATGGTGGCAGTTTGGCTCAGAGGACAGTCCTATACAATGGGGACCTCCCCATACTCCTTCAGGGGACTGTTGAGACAAGACGACAAATCACTCACTCAGCCAGCAACTCAGAGTGAGTGTCACCCCGTAAGACCAAGCCATTTGCCTGAGACAGCTCAGGGAGATACAACTCCTAATCTGTTTCTTCCCCAAATTCAAGCTAGTCCTAGAACCCTCTCTGGGCCCCAGTATCCCTAACCGTAAAGTAAAGGATCCAGCTTTGGGCTTGCTGGGGGCTCCATCACTGCTTTCTGGCCTTTGGGTTCAAGGTCCTCTGCCTTAGGCCTCTTCTCCCCTGAGGGGAGGGTCTCATATCAGGGCCTTGCTATCCCAGCCTGGTCTTCTCCAACCTGTGGCTCAGGAAGAACCGACTTGGACAGATTCTTCCAAATGGGTCAGATGCCTACCTCCATCCCCATAGTGGGGACATGTGTCTGGGGAGAGCTGCAGCCATCAACATGGCGGTCCAGGCTTGCCTCCCTCGGCTCAGGAGACACTCCTGGAAGCTGTCTTCTCTTCTGCTGTTTCCCCCGTCAGGCCTGGACTGTTGCATAAAGCTGCATGGGTTGGGCCCTGCCCAGCCCTGAAGGGTTCCCATCCACACAGCATAACGAGGCTTGGCATTCAGGGGGTCATGCGCCCTCTAGTCTCTTCCCTTGGCACTTCAGGTCATATACCATGCCTAGCTTTTTTGAAAACCTTCAGGGTTTCCCACAGTCTTAGGGTAGAACTCAAATTATACAACTAAACACAGGTGTGTGGTTAACCCTGCTGTCCCAGTGCTTAAGAAAGCAGAGACAGGAGGATCTAAGTTTAAAGACGGGTCTACATTAGAAGACACCGTCTCAAAATCAAGCTAGTTCTCCAACTAGGCAGTATTCTCTGGACATGGGCACGCTGGAAATAGGAGGAAAGGCATCAGTCAGCCTCCAGGAAGGACAGAGACATGGCATAACCTGTCTGACTACAGGAGTGAGGTTGCCACCAGGGTCTCTGCCCAGGAAGCTGCTCTGTGAATGGGCAGGACAGTCTGCTTGGCCTCCTGTTCTGAAGCTCCCTGCCCTGAGCTCAGTCCAAAGTCCTGGAGGCCAGAAGGGCTGCTGGGAGAACAGAGCTGCATGCTGAGGTCCTTGAAGCTGCTCATTACTTCTGTACCTTTGCACACAGAGGGCCCCTGGCTCCTTCATCTGCAAGGCCTCTGGCTTAGGCCCATGGAGAAACTGAGGCCTGGAGAAGGGCAGGGAGGTGCCTAAGGCCAACCACACTTGTTCTGAAAACCTGCACACCTCTTCTCCAAATCTCAGCTCTCCTGGTCCTTTAGAGATAGAGCAACTGCTTTCTTGGGTGGAAATGCTGACCCCATAAACACACACACACACACACACACACACACACACACACACACACACGCACGCGCACGCGCACGCACGCACGCGCGCACACACACACACACACACACACACACACACACACACACACAGCTGGTCGTGGGATGTCATTTTCCCTACTTGAAGCCAGTAGTCAGAGTCACCCAAAGCCCAGCCACAAGCTCCTCCCTCATCCCCAGTTGTATTAGCTGCTCAGCTACCAACTCCTGTGCCAAAAATTAAACCAAGGGGAGAAAGGGCCCCCGGCTTCTGTGCCCAGGAGCAACAGCTCCACTGATCTCATTTGGAACCCAGAGGAAGCAAACTATCGGTCTCAAAACTCTATCAACTTAATGCTGGCTGCCAGCCAGGGCCCACGACACAGGCCAGGTCTGAAGTGAGGTCAACGGGACCGGATGGAGGATGGCCCAAGGCAGGACCGGCTGTGAGATCTGCCTACTAGGAGCACTGTGAACGTGCTCCCGGTCAGATGAGGAAGGCAGGCCAGGTCCCTGGGAAGGCAGGCCAGGTCCCTGGGAAGCAGACAGAAGGGGAACATGCTGCAGAGCAGGCTTCGGTCCCTTTCCTCGGCCACCAACTGACCCAGTATGTCAGGGCATCCAGGGCCAGCCACAGCGTACTGCTCCAGTCTGGGAGTGTTCTGCACCTGGGGCTTTAGGCTGCGTGACTCTAGAGACAGTTGGGAAAGGCTTCTCCTGTGAGCCAAGAGAGCAGCTCCCAGCAAAGACACCCGGGCTTCAACAGTGTGACGGGGAGCCAGGCTCTTCTCCAGGAGGACATCTGAGCAAACACGTAAAGAGGAGTGGGAAAGAACAGGTCAAGAGCAGCTGAAAGAAGAGCCATGGGGAGCTGAGGGAACCGCCAGTACCAGGGTCCTGAGAAACGGGGAAGGATGGGAACGACAGAGGGGCATGCTGGAGAAGTTAAGCAGGCCTGGAAGTCCGGTCTTAGCTGGTTTCTAAAGCGGGGTGGGGCAGTGGGGGAACTGCCTTCCCTTGTCACAGGTGCAGGGTGCTCAGAGGGCACTCACAGCCGCTAGGAACTGAGGCGGGACACTCTCCAGCTGCCTCATACTTCTTTCTAAACTCCCTGGCTCCCACAACCCGCCCCATTTCAGCCTAGACAATAATGAGACTGATGGGATGGGGCTGTAGTACAGTGGGAAGAGCATCCCATGAGGTCCTGGGCTTGATCCCAACACCACAAAACTGGGTGTGGTGCCACACACCTATAATCCCAGCATTCCAGAGGCAGAGGCAAGGAGGATCAGAAGTTCAAGGCCAAATAGGACTACATGAGATCCTGTCTCACAAATAACTAAACAGAGGTTGGAGAGGTGGCTTGGGGGTGAAGAGCCCTGACTGCTCTTGCAGAGGACATGGGTTCAGTTTCCAGCACCCATATGGTGGCTCACAACCATCTGTAACTCCAGTTCTGGGGGATCAGATACTCTTTTCTGACCTCCCCAGGCACCAGGAATGCACACAGTGCATAGACATACGTGTAGGCAAAACATTCATACATATAAAAATAAATTTTAAAAATATTTTTTTAATAAACACAAAATAAAAGCTGAACACAGAAAACAGAACAAGTAAAGACTCTCCTGGAGACTTGCAAAACTGTAGCCTCTGAGACACCCCAGAGATTTCAACTAACCAGACAAGGTGGGATTGGTCACCTGCCTTTACAGTAGTCTCTCAGGTGACCACCATGGAGCTTCCCTGGGAAGCTAGCTAGTTTGAGAAACTCTAGAAAAGGTTCATCTCCAGATATAAGGTGTCAGTTAATCCCAGAGGCTTCCTGGAATCTCAGACTGACAGCCACAGACTGGGAATGTCATGTCTGTGGGCGTCCTGCATTCCATTCGCCTTGTCAGTCACTCAGGCTTCCCAGTTTCTGTTCAGCTGCCACCTCCTCTGGCCTTGCCTTTTCCCCAGGGATGGACCCCTCTCGAAACTACCCAATATGGTACAAGAACATTGTCTCCCTATGGATCCTCTTCGGGATGGCCTGGCTGGCCCTGATCATCAAAATCATCCTGTCCCAGCTGGAGACGCCAGGGGACATGTGCACCTGCTCCCTACGCTGCTCCAAGGGCAACATCAAGTGCCGAAGCCGGAGGCGGGGCCAGGAAGGGGATCACGGGGTCCAGTCACCAGGCATCACATCTGGAACCTTCCACTCAGGTTATGCGACATGATGAGGACAGCTAGCTGTCTTCCAGGATTGCTGGATCTCTGATTTTAAGCATGGTTTTCTGTGCCTCCCAACTAGGTACAGGTAGAAGATTCAAGTTCATCCAATAGGCTGTGCAACAACTTATGGGATATGACTTTGGGAACGGAGTGTGCTCCTCTTTGCCTATTTCTTTCTTCTAGCCTTCTGTAATGCTGACATGGTGGCAAGAGGCCCGGCAGCCACATTGCACCATGAAGTAGAGGCCAGGATTGAGACTTGAAGCACAGTAGCAGAAGTAGCCTGGAGTCCTGGTCATCACAGAGTCACAACAAACCAGGACTGAACACTGCCTTGATTCATGTGAGAGCATTAGACATCATATTTGGAACTATTGCTTGGGTGTTTCTAGCACAGAGAAATTTAACTCTAAACGATGCACACATATCCATAAACAGACACAATGGAGGCTAGAACCCACAGAGAGAAACAATGCCAGCCCCAGGTGAGCTTGCCCAGGATGAGTGGAGGCATGCACAGAGGGCAGAGAAGATGCCGGACCTGCCATCCTTGGACCATCTAGAGGAGTCACGGGGTTTGCTAGTGAGTCCCAGGACTGATGCTGCCAGCAGGTGTATGAACCCAGACAGCTACTGGATGCTTCCTTGCCCTCTCAAAGTGAGCTGAGCAACAGCATCCTCCCCGGCCCCTGCTTCCTGACTGCATACACAACGTGACCAACCACCTCCTGTCACCACATCTTCTCACCCATGATGGGCTGTGTCCCCTAAAACTGCGCCAAATAAACCCTTCCTCTCTTAAGATGACTTTGTCATGTGTCTGTCCCCCAGTGAACAAATAGCCAATACAATCATGTATCAGAAGACTACAGAATTTAGTGCCAGAAAATACCATCACTTTTAACCAGGACGTTGAATTCAACCAGGCTTTAGTGGGGACAGGGCTGTCTCCGGGCATTAGTGGGTGGTTGGAAAGCCCAGCTTAGGATCATCTCCATACTCACTCCTGTATCTGGCATCAGATGGGGGCTGTTGACTGAGACCTTAGCGCACGTCTGTGTGGCCTCCTACTGTGACAACATGGAAGGGGCCTCTCGGGGTGAATGCTCTGAGAAAGAGGCTGTCCTGTCTCTTACAAGTCAGGCTGGGGACACGCAGTGACACCTTCTCACCATCTTCTCCTGTTCACATGCATACCATGTCCCAGGACGACAATGTGCTGACTCTGACATGCCTGTTTGCACACCTGCCATGTCCCATTACTGACAAGTGACAGCCTGGGCACACCTACTGTGCACCAGGGCCTCCAATAGGCTGCCTGGGCACATCTGTTAGTATGCATGCCATGTTCCAGCACCACCATATGGTGACTTGAACACACCTGTTCACATGCCTGCGGTGTCCCAAGACACATGTTTGCACATTTGCCCTGTCCCAGAGCCACCAACTGGGGTCTGGGTACACCTGTCCCCATGCACACCATGTCCTGGTGCCGCTATCGGCACATAGCTGAAGTTTTCCTGGTCCTGCCTGGCCCACAGTCAGGACAAATCTCTCTCACCCGCCAGTCCCGCAGCCTCTCAAACCCAAGTAAACACACAGAGGCTTGTATTATTTACAAACTGTACAGCCTAATGGCTCAGGCTTCTTGCTAGCTAGATCTTACATCTTAAATTAACCCATTTTTATAAATCTATACCTTGCCATGTGGCTCATGGCTTACTGGTATCTTTATATATTGCTTCTCATGGCGGCAGCTGGCAGCATCTCCTCACTCAGCCTTCCACTTCCCAGAATTCTCATCTCTCCTTAGCCCACCTATACTATACTTCCTGCCTGGCTACTGACCAATCAGCGTTTTATTTATCAATCAATCAGAGCAACACATTCACAGCATAGAAATATCCACAGCACTTCCCCTTTTCTTTTTTTCAAAAAGGAAGGTTTTAACTTTAACATAGTAAAATTACATATAACAAAACAATTATCAAGAAGAATTATAGTTATAATATCTAGTCTATTTATAATAACTAGTCTATTTGTATTTGGCAAAATTAAAGAAGATATCCTATCTATCCTTTATTTGTGAGTCTAAGGTTTCATATCTAACTTTCTTTTATCATAACTAAGGAAATTATAACTATCTAGTCTTCAACTGCATCAAAGACCTCAGAAGGATATAATATTATCTGAGAAACGGGAGAAGGATGCAAGCAACTTTCAGGAGTCTTGCGAGAGTAAACAGAAACAGCTAGCAGCCTGGACAGTCATTCAAAGTTCTTTTGTAAAGTTGGGGCCTCTTTCTTCAGCCCACAGGGCTAGAGTCTCTCAGTCACTTCTCTCAGTGTCCTGTAGAATGTCCGGCAGTTTCCTCTGTGAAGCAGGAACCTGAAGGATCATTTTGCCAAGCAAAGTTCAGTGGTCACCTTCCTATGGGTCCTGCATGTCCAGTCGATCAAGCAGTCCTGGCAAGAACAGTCTCTTGCTCAAATAACTATTTTTGACAAGAAGAATATAAACTCCATATAGAGTGTCTTTGATGCCCATCCTCCTCTCTGAAGTAAATCAGTGCTGCCAGGAGCAGACATGTCTCACTGTCCAGAAAGTCTAAATTTTTAAGACATTTTAAATGCCGTATTCTGTAGGTCTTTGAAGTGTTTGAAGATTACCTGTCTAATTGAATTATATCTACATATATCTAGAAAACTTAACTAACATGACTACAAGTGTGATCATCATAGAAGACTAATTATTAATCTATATTTTTTAATTATCCATTACAATCTAAATGAGTTACATAAACATAATACCTCAAATGAGAGTAGAAACATATATACACTATAACAAAATTAAGTTTAAACTTGTATCAATAAACTAAAATCCATAGCAATGTAAAACATTTATAAACAAGTTGTTGCTCTTAAAAGTAGGTTCAATAATCTACCCTTTCATCCTATCATATTTATACTATCCCCTTTTCTTCTTTAGAAAGAGATCACATTTATAATCAACCTGCTTAAATAAAAATATTGGTTTTGCTCTGTCCCACACCACAGGGCTCTTTTGATATGGGACAGAAAAACCTCTCAACCTTTTCTTTTAGCAATATGCTTGGGTTTAGAGAAGGAGTGAGCCAATTCCATCTCCAAAGCCAGCTTGGTATATTTGGAAATTTGGGCATAGCTTCTCATACTACTTCCTGTTGGATGAGGGTGCTGTATTTTTTTTTTTTTTTTTTTTTTTGGTTTTCCGAGACAGGGTTTCTCTGTGTAGCTTTGCGCCTCTCCTGGAACTCACTTGGTAGCCCAGGCTGGCCTCGAACTCACAGAGATCCGCCTGGCTCTGCCTCCCGAGTGCTGGGATTAAAGGCGTGCGCCACCACCGCCTGGCCGAGGGTGCTGTATTTTTATGGGGACACAAAGAAAATTTTAGGATTATGGAGTAGTCCATGAGACTGTATTGTCTGAGCCAGTTGCCTTGAAACTGTTCTGGATGTTGGATCATCTGGGCCATGGTGTCATGGGAGACCTTTCAGGGGGTCTTGGCTGGTCAAACCTGATGTATCTTAATCTGGAACAAATCCATAGCCTCTGGCTTTCTGTGGAAACAAAAGCAGAGCCTCCTTTCCAAAGCAGCATATCCTTAGATGCAAATTTTGAAGTCAAGGTACCTTTAAAATATACATATTTGCTTACCTGCACAGTCTTTACAATCAAATGTCTTTCTGCAGTTAAAAATCCCAAAGACAACACAATCCAGATTCTCTGTGTGATATCCATCTTTACGTGGCTTATTTTTTTATATTACTTTCTCTTAAGTAAATAAAAGACTTTATTTTTTAAAACCATTTCTTTACATAACTGTATATGTTCCTTTTTCTCTCTTCCAAGTCTACATACATTTTTTTACACACATTGTAAACTGTTTAGAGGTTTATAGTCTGAATCTGTCTTATTGTGAACCTGTTGCTTTAAACTGCAGCATGCTCCCGTTCACCTCAGCTTCCCAACATGGTGATGGTGTGTTTGTTCACCGCCAGCTTTGGAGGAACCATGCTCACTGCCGGACTCTAGGAGGCAGTGGGTCTATTCCTCTATCAAAGCAGCAAAGCCACAGCACCCACAGGCCTAGGGATGCCTGTTCACACATTTGCCATGTACCAATGCTGCCATCTAGTGACCTAGGCACTCTTTCACATATGCTATGTCTTGAGACAGCCACATAGCTCCCTGTACACACCTGTTTACACACTTGCTATGTATCTGCACTGCCACTTGGTGGCCTGGGAATGCCTGTTTGCATGTTGGCAGTGTCTCTGAGCCACCAACTGGTGGCCAGCACATGCCTCTTCACTCACTTCTGAAATATCATGGGGGTCAACATGCCCATAAAACCCTCATATTATGCCACTCAGATATGGCATGTTTTCCCACATGCTCATAAACCCCCCATATTATGCCACTTGGAAATGGTATGGGTGCCCATATGCCCATACACATCTCCATATGTTAGGGCTCAGAAATGGCATGTGGGCCAGCATGCACAAACAACACCATCATATGACCAGGATGGGAAATACCTCAGGAGCCATATGTATCACTCCACCCATAAAGCTGGGCTCTGAAATGCCGTGGGAATCAGCATGCCCATATACCTTCTCATATGACTGGGCTTGGGAATGGCATGGGGGCTAACATGCTCATACCCTCCCCCCCATATGAAAGAACTGGAAATGGCATAGGGGCCAACATAACCATATACCCTGCACTATGATCAGGCTCAGAAATTACATGGGAGCCAACATGCCCGGACACCCTTCCTCTATCCAGTCTTGGAAATGCCATGGGGTCAACAAGCTCATGCAGCCCCACACATAACCAGGTTTGGAAATGGCATAGAAGCCAACATGTACCTCTTATATGATTAGAACAGAAAATGGAATGGGGCCAAAATGCCCATAGCTTCTCCCCTTATGTCAGGGATTACAGATGGCATATACCCATATAGCCCCACTCAAAAATGACTGGGTGCCTACATGCCATAACTGTTTCCCATATGACCAGGCTCAGACATCAAATGGAGGGTGACATACCCAGAAACCTCATTATATGATGGGTTCAGAAACTGCATAGTCTCCACCATGCCGATATACCCCAGCATTTTACTATGCTTGAAAACATGAGGCTAATATGCTCATACACACCCACATATCTTGGGAAAGACATACAGTTCAAATGCCCATATACCCCTCAGGTAACCAGGTGCAGAAATTGTATAGGGCACAACATGCCCATACACATCCCATATGACTGGGTTTAGGATTTGCATGGCAGCCATCATGCCCCATACAACCCCCACAGAACTGGGCTGGAAATGGCATGGGTGCTAACATGCCCACATACCTGCTTTCTGATCAGGCTCAGAAATGGCATAGTCTCAAATATTATTAAGGACCTACCTTAATAATATTTTTCCCAGGGGCCCAGAAGAGAAGCTATGAATGGTGTGAATTATTTTTGGGAAATGAATCTCAGTACAATGAGCTCTTAGTGCATCTACTTTATTCCTCTGGGATGAGATTCTATCTACACAGCTACAGTTCTGTTCTCAAGCCTAGCTCCTTTCTTGCCTGATTTCTCTCTCCATTTATCTGCTGTCCCCTCTAACTTCTTTCTTAATTCTCTCACCTTAGTTCTGCCCCATCTTGGTT